ATTGGTGCAGTATGTATGCTGTTCCTAATTACTACTACTAGTAGTAGTACTTTTGCTGTGTCCTTGAAAAATAATGTTCATTGAGTTTTGCTCCTCTGTGTTCAGAATTTCAGTATTTTCACTTTTATAGCCAAAGCCATGGTTTCCTATGCTTCTCTTCTATACTGACCCCCTGTGGATTTCTTTGTCATTTTCAAGGTTGTAGAGTCCCTTTTTTCTTTATACTCTTTTATTCCCTTTCTTGCTCTTACCTTGTCTACTCAGAAGTAAAATTTTGCTGGTCTCATTGGAAATAATGTCTATTGCATTCTATCAGATTTGTTTCCCAATGAATACTGATTGGACTGTAGTTTTGTATTGCTTCAGACTCTGTGTTTCCTTCCCTCTAAAGCTAAATTCTCCTGTTTTAGATTCTTCAAAAATATTTATTTCTTTTGTAACATGTTTTCAGAAATTTTATAGTTTTTGAAAAAAAAAGTTAATCATCATCATTATGAGGTGTTATCAAGTCAATTCTGGCTTATGGTGACCCTTTTCAGGGTTTTCCGAGTACAGAATACTCAGAAATGATTTACCATTCCCTTCTGTGGGCAGCTTGGGACTGTGCAGCTTGCCTAAGGCCACACAGGCTGGCTGTTCTGGGATGCACAGTGGGAAACTGAACTCCCAGCCTTTGGCTCCACAGCCAGACGCCTAAATCATCAAGCTATCCAGCCAGCTCTGGATCAAAACACTTGATATATTTGGCTTCACCTTTTATTTATTGCATTAAGTCTAGTTAATTTAATGCAGATCAGTTGCTTTTTAGTAATTTTGAATGTACATTTACTATAGGTAATCTTGGTTGTGAAACTGAAGTGCCCATCCCTTCTAACTTTTGATTTTTGTAATGAATATACAGCAAGAAAATAGTAGTTATTTCACATTATTTGGGCCACAGTGAAACAGTGAAATATTGTGTATTATTGATGCATGCTGTTTTTAAGGATCATTTCTGCATGTCCTACAGCATATAAAATACTCCAATGAATTATTATTAGGAATATAAGTATATACTGTAATGTATTGCAATGTGGGTATTCTTCTTTAAGGATAGATAGGTTTAATGGAGTTTAGTCACTGATGGACTGTATATTAAGAAAGAGCTCTGTGCTGCCTGATCTGGTTGGTCTATATCCTGGCAAGGAGGTACTGTATTTGAAATAAGAAGCAATTCTTCAGACCTATTCCGTTGTTTTTGTTTTTTTGCCTGCTCTTTCTGTCTCCTTTGGAAATGTCATCTACATGTCCTTGAGTGTACTTCATGTACACACATTCATTTCAATTTAATTTGCACTTTGGAAGCCATTAATGGAGAGGAAAAGGATTGATTATCCAGGAATGTGACTCTAACCCAATCCAGATGGTCTGATGATGGGTTAGCCATTGACTGTCCTGGAGGCATTTTCACAAGTGAAGCTGAGAATGCCTTTTAGTCTGGAATGTATCACTTCTGCACATTATTAATGCAGGAGAGAGCTCAGTTTTTTTTAATGGAATGAACATTCTATCCAGATTAGGTTTTACATTCCAATCACAGAGGTGGAAAATGAAAAACAAAACAATTAGGGCCGTTGGTGAACATGCCCAGAGGAATAGCAGCTGCAATTCTTCACACTTGAAACACCAAGGTAAAAAGACGTTGGGAAAAAAAGGTTGGATCCACACTATCTGTAAAGAAGACCCACTGAAATGAATTGTATTATAAGTGCTAAGATAATGAACAGATGGGAATGAGTGATAGAACAAGAAGGGATGTAGGAACAAATATGTTTCAAAAGGAGTACTGTATAAACTAGGGTGTGTGTGAAGGGGTACCAAATTCTGCTGCTCCCGACCGAAATAACTGGTGACTTCACGGTGCTAGGGGTGTTGCTCGCGAGTGTGAGTAAAAAGAAGGGGGGGTGTCTGTGAAAGTAGAGTCACCCCACATTTGCCTGCAGATTGGCCTCCCGCCCCCTCCCAATGCGCTTGGTCTGCCGTAGAGGGTGCTGGGGGCTAGCCTAAACTGAGCGGTGCTCGTCCGAATGACTGACAAGCGGCCCGGCCCGAGACTCCCCACAAAGGGAGGGCGGGA